TTAACCCAGTTTAAAAAGAAAAAAAAATTATCTCTTACTAATTTGAAGGTAACCTTCAAACAGCTGCCAGAAACAACCTTAAAAGGAAATGAAAAAATATGGGTTTTTTACAGATATTTTCCATAAGAAGGGGATACTACTACGTTTCTTATTGTCATTTTAGATGTACTAAAATTATCTAATATGACTTGCTAATGATTTATTTTTTTTAAAATTTCATTAGCACCTGTATGGCAATTTATTAGCAAACAGCTGTATGGATCTCATCAGGAACAGAGTTTTAGAGGATGGTTGCATTATTGCATTATTTTTTTTGCCTGTTCTACAGTCCCCATGCCATCCATTAGATGTGCTCAGAGCAAACTGTGCCTGAGCATTACGAGTTCCCATGGTTCAGTACCTCACTAATCAATCAGCTGACCTCCTGTCTTAAATTTCTACCAGTAAACACATTTGAAATGTAGTGAGTAAACCTTTTTTTGATGCTACAGATATCTGATTTTCAACGGTGTTAATAAACTATATAGTTAATTAATAAACTATATAGTTAATATTATCCAGTTCAAACCCCATCATGTCACGACACAGCATCAGATCAGAGCAGTGCTCTTGCATCCTGCAAAGCCAAAGGAAAATACCAAGCGGAGCCACTCGATGTCAGTGTTGCTTCACCAAGTTTTGCCTAGCACAGCATCCTTAAAAGTGCTGAAAAGCCCATTTCCAGAGAAGATGTGTAAGTAGAGCCCAAGCCTTTTGAGCCATGTCTGGCTTCTGTGTTGCCTCGATGTTACTGTCCCCGTAGTCTCATGGATATTCTGTATGATGAGGGGATGGAGATGATAGCTTTGTGTGCTTTGTGAAGGGTAAGAATCATATCTTTGTCAGTTTAGGTCCACATTCAAGTTATTGGTGACTGAAATCAGTACTTTTGAAGTTAATCATTACTGAAAAATCATTGCATCCAACTGTGGGAGATAAACTGGGAAGCTTTGGAGTTTGTTAATTTTGTCTGGCTTTGATGCAACAGAATTTCAGAGGGGGAAGTTATTTCTATATCAGTAATAAATGATTTGCATACTTACACATATGCTTCTTCTCTGCCTAGTGTTGTGGTTTAACCCAGATTTATGTAATACACATGGTTGATAACCTACTTCTTTACAAATTCTCAAAATTCAGGAATGCTGTTTTGAACAGTGTGGATTTCTATCACTGTTTTTGAGTTGTTGCATTTGTCAGCACTCTGTTATAATTTTGGTAGCTTGAATAATATTACCATATGCTGTGTTCTGCAATATATGAACTGCACAATTTGGTCTCTCTAAATTAGTTTCTATCACTCCTTTTTAAAATTTGACTTTCATTCCTATCCAGTTGAGCTTTGTGAAAATACTTAAATTTTTTTTGTAGCATTTTTCTAGGAATTTTAGCCATTGTTGCTAAAGACACAAGATTTATGTGACTAAGATTTTTGCCTGTTTTATTTTCCTAAGTCTTTCATTTATTATCACCTTTATCCTTTAGCCATACTTTTTGACAGAAACAGAGCAGTACCAAACACGAGTTCACAAAAATTTTTGATTGGTATAGAGGAAAAGGATGAACAGAAATTAGTTTCTGCACAGAGGTGAGGAAAAAGATGAGAAAAGCTCAATCATTATGTATTCATGATATATAAAGATACATAAAGATCTAAATCATATATATGTTTTTGCCAGTGTCCAGCCAGAAAGGTGTGTGTCACTTTGGATTAATGATAGCATGTAATTCCCTTTACCCTGTGATGCTGGAAGGGAAAACTCCAGGCAGTGAATTGGATGCTCTGGATGTTCCTGGGGAGCAGATGATACACATCAGCAGGAGCACAGGTTTAGTTAGTTCACACTGCATATTTGCAGACATTTAGTTAAGTGATCTGAGAAGACTTAGAAAGCACAAGTCACACTGCAGAATCACGGAGATTAAGGTTGGAAGGGAGCACAGTGGGTCACCTGTGCAGCCTCCCTGCTCAAGCAGGGTCTCTCCAGAGCACATGGCACAGGATTCTGTCCAGATGGTTCTTGAATATCTCCAGTGAGAGAGATACCACAGCATGTTCCATTATTTCTATCTATGCCTGTCTGAGGTGTGAATAACTTAAGTTCTATGAGCATATGTAAATATAAGTTCAGTTTTTGAACTTGCCTGCCAGTTTATGTGAAGTCTTAAAGCAGTTCTCATGCAAGAATGAAAAGATTTCCTACAAAATCTGCATCTATATGAAGTGGGGTTTAGGGGTTCTCTGTCAGAGTTCTCTGCCAGAAATATTTCCTTTTGAGGCCAAAGTTGGAGTAAGGTGTTAGACTTTTTTTTTTTTTTAAATCTCTTGAGGCCAGAGAATCAAACCTCCTTTCTTCACATATCCACCATGAATGCAAACTTCCCATATACACAAATGTTAGAGGAGCTGATGAAAATACAGACTGCCCCCACAGAGGTTACCCCATTTATTTTTGGAACCTGTTGTAAATCAGGTTTTAAAAGCCCACCATATCAGACCTATGATACAATAAATATCTCCTTCTATAAACTACCTGTATGCTAATTTTTGACTTACAGTAATTATCTTTTTAGCATTGTACATAAATGTTCTATCAGAATTGCATTTTTGTGCATTTCCAGAACAAACAGCTATGTAATCACTTGAAGATAAGTTTTACTTATATATGATTATCTAAAAAGCTAATTGTGAACCATCTAATATTACAAAAATGTGTGTGGACACGCTGACTTAAATGTACAAAACAGAAGGTTTCTCACACTTATACTTTGGTGTTCCAGAAAATGAAGGTTTATTCACTTGTTTCTATACAGGAGAGAGTCTCATAGTCCTGATAGCTCAGGTACATTATGATACAATTCAAGCTATGAAAATCCTGCATAGTCTAGGAATGTATAGATTAAGGATTTATAACTAATGAAAACCAGCTAATGGGAAAAAGTTTAAACATCATGTGTGTGATACCACAAGTTTCCATTAGGGTATTATTGATGTGTTCTAGGAAAGTGGAGGGGTTTTTATGTTTCTTTAAGATTCAAAGGTTGTAATATTGAGGTATGGGCTTGTAATACATACCTATAGACGAGTTTCCCCTTAAAAATGTTGATTTCTTTGGCAGTTTGTAACTGAAATGTTGCTTTGTGCCACAGCTAACTAAGAGTATTTTCTAATTTCAGAGTTACAGTGAATTTCAATAGTGATGGCATTATCAACTTCAGATTTATGGATAATGTAGTTTTTTTACTTATCAAAATAATTGTTGGGGTGAAACAAAGTTTCCACAAAAATTCCACAATAGCTGTAGGATATTTGCACTCATAGATGCACACACCCCCAGAGAGATACCATCCCTTGGTGGTGGTGGGGGACAAAAGCCTGTTGATGATGGAAATTCAAGGTGTTCACATACCAATCTGGGATTGATGAAAACTTGTCCAGTTGAACTGACTCTGCAATTAGGAGGTGGAAAAATCTCAATTATCATCATCAGCATTTTGGTGCAAGAACTTTGAGGAATGGAGAATATGTTCTTGTGTGTTTAGCAATGCTTCTTTTGTTTCCTAATGTGGGGGTTTTTTTGCCGCTGTCAGAATATTTAGAGCTTCTAGCAAACAATGGCAAAAAAAATAAAGAGGCTAGGCTCTTTTACACAAGTACCTATATTTGGGTATGTTTTTGCACATGCATATTTATATGTAGAAATGTATTTTGATTTTTATTTAATGGTAAATACTGTTATAGTTAGAGGTACTGAACATTTCATGAAAACAAAGCAGCACCAGACTGCTGAGGAGCTCTCACTGTAGCTATGAGGATTCCTGTCCACTTCTGACTATTGAAAGAAGGAAAAGATTTGTGTTGTGAAACACTTGGCAGACATAAATGCCTCAATTATGAAGCCCTTGAACTGCCCTTTCAAGTTAGAGAACCAGAGCAAACCAAAAACACAAACTGCAAAAAGAAAAAAAAAAAAAAAAAGGAGTCAATGTTTAGAGGTTTATTCTAATGAACAGCAGGAAGATTACCTGTCTTTAAAAATTGTATGTTGTTAATGGGTGGGCAGGGCAAAGAATAAGTATGACAGGAATAGTTAAAAGTAAGGGTCTGTCTCAAGCTAAGAAATTATTTCTTTCTCTTTCTTTTTGCTTTTTTCCTTTGCAATGCTGTGGGACACAGTTGTGGAAAACAACTGAATATCACTCAGTAGCATGAACTGATGCATTTGTCTTTGTGCCAGTCTACCTGTTGCATTTGGAAGCAGTCTCATTTTTCTAAAGTTGTTTTGGATGGAAAGTGCTTCAGGTTTTTTTTTTCCTTAATCTAAACAATAAAATGTAAATTAATTTATATTTTTAAAAAGGAATATTAAAAAATATATTAATTTTTACTGCTTACTACAGAACAGTGATTGGAAAGACACTTCACCCATATGACGGATCTTGCATTCCAACTTCAATTTCTTTGCCATCCAGAGATACAGAAAACTTAGAGGAAAGCTTACTGTGTCCTTGCTCCATATCAGTCAAGGCATTTAAATGCCTGAACATTTAAAGCTCTTCCATGCCCTTATCACTTTGTGTCTGAGCACTTTGTTTCGTACACAAGGTGCATGACATTATTACGAGAACAAATGTTACTTGGTGAACAGTCTGTGCCGAGAGAGCCTTTGCTGAGTGGTCAGCCAAGAGCAGAAAGGACTAGCTTTGAACAAGAATGATTGTCACAAGAATTTTTGGCATTGCCCATGTGAAGCTGATACCTTGCAGTCCCTGACCGCACTTTGAGCTTGTTACTCTTGCGTTTGAGGTTTCAGCCTACAGAAAGTCTGCGTGCGTTTCCAGTAGCACTTATTGCTACCTGATGTTCTGCATTTGCTACATAAATAAGCTTTTTTGCTGGCATTTATAAGACAAAATGCTGATGGAGTAAGACAAGTCTTCTAGCATGAGCTTTACTGAGGTCTTAATGCCTTCCGCCTGCGGCCAGAAAAGCTCCCCCAGGAGAGACAAGGCTGCTCTCCCGGGCTTGGCAGGGAGATGCCTGCTCTGCTGGGCACTTCTTGCTCAGATTAGCATAGCCCAGCCTATATCACACACACACCCAGTAATACCTCATTTTGCCACTGGCATGAGGCCAAAAGCACAAGCATTACAGGGATATAAAGCGGGAAGTTACTGCAAAGAATCACAAACTAACGTGAGACTAGACCAAATTTTTGCAAACAGCAGAAAATGTGATCTTTGTTGTAGATGGTTCGTGCATTTAATGTAGATGTTTATATGATTGAAGCACTTAATAAGTGTTTTCATTGAGTATAGTTACAGAACAGCTGCAGAAATCTGAAGTGCTTCTGTTCATTTTTATTTTTTTTCTCCGTAGTTTATAACTGAAAAATCTCAGAAGAAATCTGGAGACTGACAGAGATCAGGGTGCTTCCTCAACTGTGCACTCTCCTGACAGAGGCACTGCTTTTGTGGGGTAGGAACGATGACAGGGGCAAAAAGGAAAAGAAGCACAGTCTGGAGGAAGATCCAGGCTGTTCGCTTTGAAGATATCAAAGCCTGGTGTACGAGAAGGCTGCCCATCTTGAAATGGGTACCTGTCTACAACTGGAAGGAAAATTTGGCTCCTGATACTGTTTCTGGGATGATGCTAGCCATCCAGCAGGTGACTCAAGGTACAGTCAACTCATTTCAGATTACTGTTTTATCCGGTCATATCTAATGTTGATTGAATCTAAATAAAAATATAAGGAAAAATATATAGTCTTAACTCATTTATAGAGTGAATGTGCAAATGTGGATAGAAATGCATTGTGGTATTGTAGTTAATTTCTGTGGAACTTTACTATTTATCCCATACTTTTGACAATTTTTCAAACATTTAATATGGAAGGTGAGAGAGCAGTAAATCTATTCATACTGGATATGCTTATATACAGTGTATTATCAGTTAAAGTACCACCTTTTTCTCTATTTCACACAGAAAAAAAAATATAACTAAATGATAATTGCACTATGAGATATGCTATTCTGGAAGAAACATGTGCATGATACTGTTACCTGTAAAAATCCAAAACACAACAGGAAAAATTCACAATTTTCTGTGCATAAAGAATATTCCTGGCAGAGATATCATCCAGGGAGAAGATCTGTGGCATTCATAGCTTGTATGCTGATTTAATGCTGCATTGCATTACCTACCACACCTCTTTTCAAGCAGCAATACAAAGCAGGGGTGGAGCTAGATTTCATTTTACAGATTAAAAAAAAAAAAAGAAAAAAGAAAAAAGGAGAATAAAAGGAAGGAAAAGGAATAGCTTCCCAAACCCTGCACAATGACCTGCAGAAACTTTAAGCTCCAGTCATGTTGCTTAGTAAAGTGATTTCTGCAAGGAAATAAATGTTTTTGTCAGTTTTTGGTGTGTTTTTGATAATGTCACCTTCTTATGATAATTTCTTATATTTATCTCAGACAAATCACAGTTTCTTATCTCAGATGGACTTTAACTCTTTCCATCATGTGAATGACATATATTGTTTCCTAAGTCCTCCATATTAAGTATGCTTACCTATCATTCACGTTGTTTAATTATAAAAACTCTTTTAATTGAATTATGCTGGAACTGGAAACAACTGATTTGTGTAAGTATTTGTGCTTTTAAAGTAATTAGGAACATCTGCATTGGCATGATTTAAGGACCTTAATACCGTAAGTCTGCAAAGTATCTAATTTCACTGGATGTGTGTATACAACAATTAATTAAACTGCTGCAAATAACAGTATGTTGAAATTCATCAAAAACACTATGTTAAACAGCATTTCTGCAGTGTTGGTAGTTTTAGGAAGGATTTTCATGTTTGACTCTTGTACCAAGAAGTTGTTTACTGTAACAGATAAATTTAAGATGACCCAGTGAAGACAGAAAATACAGGTTTGTTTTTTCTAGATTATTTTTAAGTACTCTAGAAACAATTTTATCCTTATTTTATGCTATTTAAAAAATAAAAAAAAAATTAAACTCCTGATCTGTTTTTTCTTTCTCTGCTTGCTGCTTCTCAAGATTTTGGAAAGATTTTAGGGGATGAAATAGGAAGAGAGTTAGAGACCAAAGTATTTCATCATGTTTGTGGTGCTTTCCCTAGTGTTGTAAGCATTCTAGTTACCAGAACTATCCTAATATTTTCACAGGAAAACTTATACATGGAAAGAAGTTCCATTTGTTATATAGCACAAAGGAAAAAATCCCAAATTTTGAGGGGTCCTATTGTGACTGCTTTCCTCAATGCAATGCAGAAATTCTAACAATAGTAGGGAAAAAAGGTAACTGATGATAATTGGCTTGTTGAGCATAGTGTCAACCTCAGCAACAGGTTTAAGCAAATTCAAGTCTAAGGAAATAAACCTGAGTTATGTAAGTATTTTGAAAAATGTGCAATTGTATTTGTATGCAACAGTTTTCTGAGTGATGAAAGCTGCAATCTCCAGGGTGGAGAGCAGTCCAGTAGCTTGAGAGTAATTAAGAAAGGCCTTCCAAATGAGCTGTGTTTTTCACATTTTCCTTCTGTGGGATATCTTACTCATCTGGCACTGGTCATATTCAGACTATTCAGGTTGGCAACTGCTCCGATCTGCTGTAATGTGCTTGTGTTCCAGCTTCTAATCTAAATTTTAGATAAAATTGCTGGTTTCTCTTTGTATAGTAAGGAAGAAAAGATGAAAATCACTGTCCTTATTGTGTTGTAGTGAAAGCAACAAAACTGGGCTGGGGAAGAGGAGACTGAGGGGTGTAGTGAGATGGAAAGTAAAGGCATGGGATTATCATTATGCGCTGCTGGGCATTTGTGATGGAAGAGTCATTCCTGAAACCAAGCAGTCATTCTGAAAATGTTCCTATAGTTGTTTTATTGTCTGCTAAAAAGAAGAAATAAATATTAATTCAGGAGTCCCAAAATTCAGTGCTCTTTATCTATTGAGATAATAATTGTATTGTCTCTGTATGTATCCCCTAGAGTCCTTTATCTGCTTATACAGAATATGGAGAAAGAAATGTCAAAGATAATTATGTTTCTAAAAATTCTATGAAAATATCATGTAGGAGAAAGGCCCTACAAGTTCTAACAAAAAAGAAAGCCCTTTCAAATGCACCATTTGGTGCAAAGGTCCAGCTGAACTTGACAGTCTGACTCCGAAGTCAGTCACCCACAAGTCAAAACCAGTAAAGGAAATCAGGCTTCATCGGTTCCAGCTCTTCAATATTAGTTCCAAATGTAGTTTAATAATGATGACATAGAATCATTATTTTTACTTTGATACTTAAGGTTGAAAAATTAATCTTTGAATCTAAAATGAACTTCATGATGCAATCTTGAAGTTTGCTATATATTGTAATAGGAAGTTAAGAAATTTGAGCTTTTATATTTTGGTAATCACTACATAATTTATCTCAAAAACTTCTCAAAAATCTGTTATTGATAGACCAGAGCAAGATATCTCTAAATTAACAAAATAAATCTCTAATTTTCTTGTTGGATTAGCATTCATTGCTCTCTTCCCTTTCCCTGTAAAACTTACTAATACCCCATCAACAATCATTCTATGAAGAGTCTTCTTTCCATTTAATTCTGTATCCCTCATCCTTGTAAAAAAATTCAAGTGCTAGATCCATGTAAATGTCTCATAAATGCCTAACCTTCTTTTTCCTTTCCAAATTGAAATCATGCTAATACATCAAAGGGTCTGCTGTGCAGGTAAGTAGTTCTCAGCAAGCTGCTTTTGTGCTCTGCACTGGCCAATGAAGACTTAGTTGATTAGAGTTTATGAATATTAAGTTATTAGAGAACATCCAAAGGAGGGTAACAAGGATGATGAAGGGCCTTGTGGCTAAATGAAGGAGCAGCTGAGGTGACCTGGTCTGTTCAGCCTGGAGGAGACTGAGGGGAAACCTCATGAGGGGAGCTGGAGAGGAGGTAATGATCTCTTCTCTCTGGTGACCAGGGACATGACTTGAGCAAACTGAGTCAGAGTTGGGTTGGATATCAGGGAAAGGTTCTTCACCTGGAGAGTGTCTGGGCACTAGAGCAGCTCCCCAGGGAAGTGGTCACAGCATCAGCCTGACAGAGTTCAAGAATTGTTTGAACAATGCTCTCAGGCACATGGTGGGACTCTTGGGGATGGTCCTGTGCAGGGCTGGGAGTTGGACTCGATGATCTTTATAGATCCCTTCCAACTCGGTTTATTCGGTGAGTCTATGCCTGTGAGAGGTGGTAAATGACTGCATCTACATGACTTTTTTTCTTTCCTTTCATTCACTTATTAAGTTGTCTATCTTGATTGACAAGTTTTCTCACTTCTGCTTTTCTGAGTCTCTCCCACATCCTTTGAGGAGGAGTGAGTGGCTGGCTGGGTACTTAACTGCTGGCCAGAATCAACCCACCACAGGCATGATTCAACTGACTAAATCTAACCATCTGCTTTGTTAACATCAATTAATTATGTTAATAAGATTAGTAAATAGATTACTCTTAGTGTAATGGGATGGGCTGAGGCGTAGACACTGACGAGGCAGATGTCAAAGTTTAGGTGTCTTAACCTTTATATCCATGGCATTGTGAGTAATAAACAGCTCATGTTTAACAGCTCATGGTTAAAGGCAGGTCTTACTGTTTTCTTTTCTGTTTTCATCCATTGACCTGTCATAATATAATTGTGTATTTTTTTGTGTGGCATGGTCACCCCAAACTAATATAAGAAGAATACTTTAATCAGCCTGGATCTGAATTTTTCTTGGTTTCCTCACATGATAAAATTAAGATGCATTATGATGCAGTCTTTCCATGTAGTTAAATCTCATAAAACTGTCATCATGTTTTTTTCTGTAGCCTTCTGAACATGTGCTATAGTCCCATCATGTCTCTTCAGAAAGTAGCTGCTTAGCTCATTTTCACAGTGGTAACTTTTATTGCACCAAGCAAATTATTTGTCTTTACTTTCAAGGCCTTTCATAGGTGATTTTTCCTGAAATCATTTATTCATTTACCAAGCTCTTGACCCATCTACCATTAATCCATTTTGTTATCCTTCTTAGTTTAGTCTTGTCTTTTCAAAGAGCTTTTCGCTTCAGGATTTAAATTTTGCAGTGTATATTTGTTGGTAGTCATACCTCAGTATTTTGCTATTTAGAATGTGGGGTTTGTGTTTTTTGGGGGTTTTTTTTGTTTTTTTTTTGTTTTGTTTTGTTTTGTTTTTGTTTTTCTGTTTGTTATTTTCCTGGGCAGAATTGTGCACAGACACTGCTCACAAAGGCTGGCATATAGAAGCCATGTAGCTAGTACCATGACCCATCACTAAGCTTCCCTGAATTCCCTGAACACAAGAGAAATAAAGAAAAGTTTCTAAAACAGACCCTCTGCCATGCAGCTGAGTTCATTGCCAGAGGAATTATTACCAATTACCTTGCTTGAATATATAATTTAATGTATGTAACTTATTTATGTTCTCTATACAGGAAGGGGACACAGATGTGTCTGAAGAATTTTGGTCATGACATGCTGTAAAAATTAAGTGCTCTGCTTAACACTTGAAGTTGTTTTGTTCTTTCTGGATGTAAATTCCTAAAGTAGGTACCTAACTTCAGACAACACCAACCCTTCTCTAAGGCTTCTTCCAAGATCTCAC